TGCTCGAATCTGCCATTTTTAACATCAGTATTAAATGGGGGCTGTTCGCCTGAATTGAAAACAGTTTGTGGGGAGGGTCTTTGCCTTTTGGGGGAATTATTAATAGTTGCTCAATCCATGAAATACAAGATGTATCCATTTTGTCCTCTCTGACAAGGGCAGTTTTTTCCCTTCCAGACAAGGCCTTGTAGGCATCACAGCAAAGTCCTCTATTTTGCCTGCTTGATAATGATGTGATATTGCCATCTTCTTTTGGTTCTCTTATTTGAAGAAAGTGGGGCAGAGCCTATTGCAATAAGTTTGTATATGATATATCTTTCAGAAGGAGATTTGTCTTCCTATGGATTGGGTTACCTGATTATTAAAGCTTTTTTCGTTTCAACTTAAGTAGACATTTGCTTATACATTAACTGTACTGAATTATCCTGTCATGTTGGCTAGTCATCCTTTCGCATCACTGCATCCATTATTTGGGCTTTTAGGATTGTCAGGCCCCTTTGATGATGATGATTTTAAGTTCTTCTCCGAGTACTTTGATTTTAATAAGAAAATATTTTTGTCTTTTTGTTTCCAGTTATTTATAGCACAAAATTATATAGATTTTTCAAGTACATTGAAAACAGAGATGTGGCCAAATCAGTTTTGAAGGAGAGGGGTCTTAAGAAGATTAGATTGGGAATAGAAGGTAAGACATTTCCATTATTTTTCTATTAATTTTTTAAAAATGGTTAAAAATCAAATCCCATTTAGAATATAGTTTGAGAAGTACATACTTCCTGAAAACTCAGATGACTGAATGAATGCTCATTCACGCAGTAGACCTGTACATAACAAAAATAAACTTCCTGTATCTGAAAAGATAGCCATTAGAAATTATTATTTATTCCATAAGATTCCCTAACAATAGGGAGAAGTGAGTTTGTCTTTTCTGCTATAGGTCATCATCTGATGCCTTTTCTGCCTAAACCCACTTAGTGTGTTTGGGTACACGTGTATACATAAGATTGGCAGGGATCTTTGCCCATTAGTAATCATTGGTGTTCCTCGAAGCCCAACAGAACTAAAAACTACTCTCTGAAAACGCATGTAAAAGCATATTAGTAGTTTACAGGTTCTTAAGGTAGAATAAACTTACTTTCAAATTAAATACAGATTTCAAACTTAATTTCGTCTTGTTAAATGCATTCATTTTTAGGTTGCTTTTACTTTGTGATTTACATGGATTTTTCCAGATGGTATGTCAGATACTTTTTGTATTTTAAAGTGCCCTTACTAAGAACAAAGTATCCCCCTTGGCATAACGTGGCATAGTGTAAAGACAAAAGGTTCTGGAGCCACATTACCTGCATTCACATCCTATGACTGAATAACTATGAACTTCTCCAGGGCATGTAACTTCTCTGTGCTTCCGTTTCCTCATCTAAAATGGGAGCATTAATAAGTATTTCATAGGGTTATGATGATGACAGATTGAATACATGAAAAACACTTAAAACAGGGGCGCCTGGGTGGCTCAGTGGGTTAAGCCTCTGCCTTTGGCTCAGGTCATGATCCCAGGGTCCTGGAATCGAGCCCTGCATTGGGCTCCCTGCTCAGCGGGGAGCCTGCTTCTCCCTCTCCCACTCCCCCTGCTTGTCTCTCTCTCTGTAAAATAAATCAATAAAGTCTTCACAAAAAAAAGAAAGAAACCCTTAAAACAGGGCCTGGCACATAGAGATTTATCAGTATATGTTTGTGATGCTGATATTGAAGATAATGGGGTTGATCAATGACTAGCTGAGCTTCTGGAGATCTCAGTAATGGGCTGCTGAGACACAAGAGAAAGAATGACCAGAAATAGGATCTTGGCAGGAAGGGGAGAAGACTTTAGGCTTAAAAACATAGTGGCATTGTTGACACATTGCTTCACCAGTGTGTGTTGTCTTCTGTTGTTTTGTAAATAGTAGGATTTAGCTGTTTGATTTCAGAGCTAGAGAGAAGGCGCCTGGAATCTACTGCAAATTAGGAGAATGAGAAAGGCCTCTCTCAGGCTAAGATATTTGAGCTGAAGCTTGATGACAAGTAGGTTGGAACCAGGTTGTAAAAAAGCCTTACGTATTATGCTAAGGACTTTGGACTTGTCCTCAAAGCATGAGGAAACCATTGGTAGTTTTTAAGGGAGGATGTAATATGATTGATTACATTCGTATGCGAGTAGTGATTCTGTGTGGAGGGCAAACTGGATTATGATGAGGTGGGAATTTTATAGACTAATAGCCTAAGAGGAATCAAGGACAAGGTAATAGAGCCGGAGACCTTTCTGAACTCCAGTGCTGTCCTTCAGATGGTAATTGACTGGAATTGTGAAACAAAGAAGACATTCTACAGAGGGTCTTTAAAACGTTTTTTTTGTTTTTGTTTTTTTTTAGATTTTATTTGTTTATTTGACAGACAGAGATCACAAGTAGACAGAGAGGCAGGCAGAGAGAAAGAGAGAGGGAAGCAGGCTCCCTGCCTAGCAGAGAGCCCGATGCGGGACCCGATCCCAGGACTCTGAGATCATAACCTGAGCCGAAGGCAGCGGCTTAACCCACTGAGCCACCCAGGAGCCCTCTTTAAAACATTTTTAGCCCTGCTTGCTCCTGAGCTCCCTTACCTGAGCCACATATACACAGGTCTTTCTAGTTTTTTCTGATTCTAAGGCAGTCTGTAGCCCATGAGCCAAATCTAGCCCATTGCCTGATTTCCTCCCCTGCCCGTTCCTGTTTTTTTGTAAATAAACTTTTACTGGAACATAGACATGCTCACTCATTTACATATTTCTGTGGCTGATTTCACTTTACAATGGCATAGTTGAGTAGTTGCAAGAGAAGCTGAAAATGACCCTGAAATATTTATTATCTGGTCCTTTACAGAAAATGTTTGCCAATCCCTGGCCTAAATTAGCAATTCTTGCTAGTAGGAGGGAGGAAAGGGACTTAACAATATTTTCTAAGGAGTATTTGTTTTTCGAAAAATTGCCATACTGGTAAATGACTGAAACTTTTCCCAAACTAGAATTGTCTTCAGTAATTGTCAGTTTTCAGTAATTATCCAAGAGGAGGAAGGTATAATTAACCAGGGGAAGGACCTTTGGATGAGCTGGATGCCAAGCTGGATGAACTGCTTGGTTTTTGGGAGTAGTGTTAAAATAATGGGTTTGCTGACCTAGGTGCAGGAGTATACCTAGAACCAATGAAGCTGGAGAACTATATAGCTCGCTCTCTTCTTAAAGGGCGGAAAAAAAAAAAAGAAAACAAGAAAGAAAAAACCCATGGCAATACAAAGATGAGATTTAGGTTTAAGGAAATTAGAAGGCTAATTGCAGGACTTGAGGCCAGATAATCCTATGAAAGGAAGGGTTCAGTGATATTGATCACAGAGCCCAAGATGCAGGACTACATACCATTGTCTTCAGGACCTATCCCCTCCATGTTTTTACTTCAAAAAATATTTTTCTGGTGGTTGATGTATTGAGTGGCTAAGAGGATGGTGGAAGCTTGTGTGAATTGCAGCAGTAGGATTTCTGTGTTTGGCTGTTGAACTGATGACTGAGGAGACGGAATATTGGTTTCCTTTCTTTGTTTTGTTTGTTTGGGAACTACAGCCAAAAAGCCCTCTTTGGGCTAACTTGGGTGGAAGTGTGTGGGACTGTGTGTACATGCTTGTGTATGTATGTATCCTCAGGTTTTAAAACTTTTCTCTCCTCCAGGTTATCCTACCTACAAAGAAAAAGTAAAGAAAAGGCCTGGGGGCCGCCCAGAAGTGATTTACAACTATGTCCAAAGACCCTTTATTCGAATGTCTTGGGAGAAGGAAGAAGGAAAGAGTCGGCATGTAGACTTTCAGTGCGTAAAGAGTAAATCTATCACCAATCTCGCAGCCGCTGCCGCAGACATTCCGCAGGACCAGCTGGTAGTCATGCACCCGACTCCGCAGGTGGATGAGCTGGATATTCTCCCTATTCACCCCCCTTCTGGCAACAATGACCTCGATCCTGATGCGCAGAATCCAATGCTGTGAGGCTGATGTTCCTTGAAACCATAGCATGCTACTCTTCACGGTGACACTGCGCTCCACATTGTGCACTGCAGGGCCGCTCTCTTCATCGTGAGATGCACGTGACGGTGTTTAGGATATTGCAGTGTAGGCTTTTTTAAAGACCAAAGGTAGCTGAATGGTTTCTTAAATGAGTACAACTCTAGCATTCTGAGTTCCAGTTATATAAATGTATTTGTTTACCAGTAGGTTTGTGAAATTGGTTCTTTGTATGGGGGACAGTCCTTTTTCACACATCTAGATATTTTCAGAGGTGGTGAAAATTGGCAGCTGGGGTATTTTCGGTTTAGATTGATATTCATCACACCCCAGATAAAATGTAGAATATTCTATAGTTGCACTTTATAAACGGTGGTTAAATGGAACTGTTCAAGCCATTTTTATAGTTGTGATGCACAATATAACTGAAATAAGTGCTTCTATCAAAGTATTCCTTCAGTAAAATGTGTATAGTTGCTGCCCGTGATGGGCAAAAAAGGAGTATTTACCATTGGGCTTATCTGAATGATTTGGAGGAGATCCAATGCCCATATCTTATTTCTCGCCAGTGCCGTTTTTGCCCTTTTAGAGTGAGTCACATGCAGGAAGTGTGAACATCAGAGGTGGTTTATTATCCAGTCTGCCTTACCCTTAATCTGTTCAGATATTTATTCACTAATTTTTTTTTTCTTAAGAGTTATGGGATAGGAAAATGAAGTGTTTGCTCTTCATTTACTAAATGATTGTAAACTCGAGTTTTTCATCAAAATAAAATTCCATTGTTTTAATGTTTCTGATCAACTTCATACCCACCTTGACCAGATTCTTAGTCTCATAATTAGCAGCTTTCCTGTCTTTTTGGTATTAATATAACTAGAAACCACCTAGTGCTCCTGGAACTCCCGCTTTGGTTTGTGTGTGATGAAGCACTTAGATTTTCCCCCCCAATCCACAGTAATGTTTGACTGAAAAAAGAAAGGGTGAAACAACTTTACTAGGTTATAGGATAACCTTAAGTTTCAGAACCCAATTTCTGACGCTGGTTCAGTGTTTTGTCCATTACACTGTACTGTTCTTCTTGGCAAACTATTTGTGCAAATGCTTTTTAAAAAAAATACTCTGTGGCCCAACTCAAGAAGGAAGTGGTAGTACTTAGGTGCTTTGGGTCACACTACTGGGAGCGGAGAGTTGCTGTAGGAAAGAAGTCCATTTGTTACACCTAATCTTGAATTTGTAATTTCATAGAATTTGAAATTTGTGTTTAAGCAGTAACATCACTATGCTCACGTAAAGTTGCAATAATTTGGAGATTAACGATTTTAACAGCACAGCTAGCTACTAACAGGGAAATTGTGTAAGTCCTGGAACGGTTATTGAAGGCCAGAAAGGCACTGTAAATGTTATTGGCATGGATTGTCCTAAAACAGCCACGGTAGAAAATGGATCCAGCCCTGCAGCACATAGGATTTTAACAGTATTTATAGAACAAGGGAAACATTTATTAAAAATATTTAACTGTCTAATACATTATACTTTAACCCATATTTATAGGAAAGGATTCTTACAAGGAAGAATAAACGGCTTTATGATACAATTAGTATAAGAAATATCCACATGGGGGACTTCTTTGTAGTGTAAAAACACCATACATCTGAAATGACCATTTGCATATAAAAGCTACCAATGATGCTTCTGTGCACGATGATTAAAAAATTCAACACAAACAGAATCCAAAATATACAATTAATGCAAGCTATCCACATCTAGCCCAATAATCAATGATGAGGAAACACTGGAGCAGGCTTAGTTCCACTTTGTCTGAAGTTACACTAGTAAGATTGACTTGTATCAATGGCTCTGAGATGGCTTTTATGAGGACAGTACATAAAAGCTGTTCTCTTTTTATCCAGTAAGCTTCACAGACTGTAAAACTCCACCAGTAATGCACTTTGATACTGTAGCTGTTGCCAAAGCAACATGTAGTGTTTACAGTGGCCACGGCAAGTCACTAAAGTCAACAGGACCACCCAGCCCAGCATCTGCTTCCAAGAGACTCATTATGACAGCCATTGCTGCTTCATCATTACTGGGACTACTTGAGCCTTGGTCGTTTTCTATCATGTCTATGCCTATGTGAGGGTTCTCACCTGGAGGAGGAGATAAAGACCGGTCAGTCGTAATACCAAAGCATGTTTAACTTTAGTAAGCAGTTCCTAAGCACACTTTTAATGAGAACATTGTACTTAATAGGAAGGTGGGAATGGCGATAGAGACTGCTTTTGAGGCTGTATTGCCAATAATATATTTTCTTTAGTGTGATTCAGAGAGAAGAACCAACTTTCTACAAAGAGCTTAAAATGCAGTAAAGATTAAAAGCATTTGAGTTGACCTCATTTTAATATTCTGACATAACCAGTTACAAGGAGGAAGATACAAAAGGAAAGAAACAGGAAGGTAGGGATTGGGGGCGGGGGGGATCCAGAAAGACAAATTGAGAAAAAGATGGGTGAGAGGGGAGAAGCAAACTCTTTACCACTTTTAATACCCACTGAAATACTTCTTGAGCATCCTTCCAGGCTTTATTTCTGAACTGTCATCAGCCTCCCAGTGAAGAGCTGATGGGCCATATAGGGAAAAGGCTGTATGGATCTAGGCTGCCAGAGTCTCCTTTTGAGTTCCAGGGGTAAACTGGAGCCTCCCCTCCCCCAGAACTCAACCATTAAACTCAACTTTGAAGTAAAGATTTAAACTGATTTTAAACCTTTAAACTTAGTTTTTATCAAATTTATCTAGAACTAGTTTATTCTAAAACTGACTTTATGCCAGATGTTGTGCAGATTCATTGTATTGGAAAGGAGTAATAATGCTACTTACCAAGAATAGAGGAACTATCAGAATATGGATAGCCCGGGTTTTCCTGAGCCTGCCCTGGTAGTAGGCCACTGGAAGGAATTTCTGGGGTCCCTCCATTTAAAATCTACAAGCAAAAGTGAAGTTTTCATATCAGCAACAGTTTCAATCAGTACTGTACTCAAAATCATCAAGAAAATGAAGCATGTTGAAAAGAAAGGCAAGGGAAGTGTTCAGTTTCCTACTGGATGATTTCAAACAAGAAACTGGAATGGTCACAGTAAGAAAAATCTCTTCCCAAGGTATTTTCTCTGTATAATTCAGCCCACACAGGCAACTTATATTTTTTAGAGATTTTATTTATTTGAAAGAGAATGAGAGAGAGAACATGAGAGGGGGAAGGGCAGAGGGAGAAGCAGACTCCCTGCTGAGCAGAGAAGCCCCATGCCTGGACTCCAGATCATGACCTGCGCAGTTGCTTAACCAACTGAGCCTCCCAACAAACAGGCGCTTTAAAAGGCTGAATGAAATCCCTAGAGCAGTCCATCACCTTGATCACCTTATTCATATGATTAAGGTCAAGGACGACCTTGGTGAGCGGATTAGAGTTCAGAAGAGGCCATTATTTCAGGTCTTGCCAGTAGGTGGCATTACAAATTTATTTCCACAGTCTAGCTTTTTGGTAGAGAAACCCTTAAGAATTGAGAACTCCAAAGAACCTTTCCTTATATATACTATATCAATATTTACTATAGTTTAAGTTAAAACTAATTTTTAAAATCTAATAAACCTATTCAATGTTAACATGAATAGCATTTTAATGAAACATACTTCTCTAAAACAGCAAAAAAAACTTTTTTTTTTTTTACAAGTCAAATGTCTGCCTTAGGATTTAACAGAATTCTCATTTTCTTCAGTCTGTTTAGATGTTTGTTGAAGTATAGGAAGGAAAGAAATCAGGTATGTAGCTGGGAAAGAGAGGTCCTTTTTAATAGCCTTTTCAAACAACTTTGGTATTCTTTGATATTACATCAAAAGTCAACAAGTGAATGTTTCTTAAAGATTAGGTGCAATGTGGAATCTGAAACCATATCAGTGAAATTCTTGTACTCTATTATATAAAAATCCATTGGTATACCTTTGTATGATTTTGAAGTCTCTTGTATTGCTCATTTGGAAAACACTTGCTAAGTTAGGCAAAACTAAATGTTGACACATTTCATTATACCTCAAAATACCTCCATTGTTAAAAGGTTTTCCTGATTATGAGGTAATAGTAAGTTTTGGGAAGCTGCTGAGTTCAAAGCAGCAGACACAAGTTTTCCAAAAATTCTAATTTTTGCTTGAAAGCTAAACTTGTATCTCAGGCAGCAAATACTGTCAGTTGTCTTCCTTAAACTCACCAGTTCATTCATTTTCAAGGAAGTGTATGCTAAATACCCAAGTCTGAACAACCACAGCTGCAATAGTAAAAATGGTGTCCTTTGACAAAAGCAGTTCATTTAGCTCCTAACTTAGCCACGCAAGTGCTTTTCCTTGAGATGGCCATTGTACTCCAGGATGCAGCACAAGTGCTCTAACACATACTTCCCATTTTGTAGCAGTGTTAAAAGATGTACGCAAGGATTTTGTAAACTATTTCTACTGCTTATTAAGGATACCCTTAAATGAAACTGGCTTGAAATTTTTTCTTATTGTGAGTATATGGTGGTGAAGAATACGCTGACTCCTAGCACAGGTTCGTGGCACTGCCATGATCTTTGGAAAAGCACCACTGGTTTTACCCAGCGCTGCTTTCTGCACTATCAGTTCATGAATCAACACAGTGAGGAAAAAAAAAAGTTTTAGATTATCAAAGTAATTTTGACCTTGCAGATCCCTGGAAGATCTTGCCTCCCTCAATACCAGGGAACTGCTGCTTTAACTGAACTTGCCGTAGTGCCCCCGGATGTCCAGACTCCTGGAACCTAGGCGGTTCATCTAGAGCCTCACTTTTTTGCTTGACCCTGAATGAAATAACAGGCAAGCTAAATGGCTCATTTTGGGGCCTGCCTCATTTAAAAGTGATTGGGAAGGGCTGGAAGCATGGGGCCAACTTAACTCTCATGGCATTGGTACAATGCTGCTGTCATTTCTCACTCCCATCTTGTTTAGGCGGCTCTTACAAGTCCTGTTGCTGAGGTCAGAATGTATTGAGAATTTTTCTCAGAGCCATTTTTATAAGCCCAAAGAAAATTTTCCCATAAGTGCCTCAAAAATACTTGGGGCTTTGTGATGTAGAGTACAGTATTAGATCTCTAAAGTTGTTGGTGTAGAAAGAATCAAAAGTCAAGACATCTGACTTTAAGTTTGGGGCTATACTTGTTAAATGATTAGCCCAGCATTTAATATTTGGGAGCTTATATTTTCTCACCTATGAAGGTATGAGGCTAAGATGAGAAAATGTACACAGAAGTTCCCTCAGTGATATTTAAGCACTATACTGGAGTGATAACCTTGCAAAACAGTAGTGGGATTCTTGGTAATACCAGGAAGTCAAGTGCCTAAAAGTTGAACTGAGAGGCAGAGAAGGGGAGACCACCCCAAGGAGACAGTGGATCCAATATGGAGGAAGGACCTAGGGATGTAACAGGAGAACAGGCCTAAGAGAAAAACCTGTGAACAGGGATTGGGGATGTACCAAGCCTAGGCTTTATCTGTTGGTGCTATCTTTTGAGTCATTACCGAAAGCCAAGCACTTTCACATATATTACCTCATACTGGGACTTAATATTCAAAGACGCTGAGCATCCTAACCTACAGGGGCCCTGTTATAAAACAAAACTAGGGCTAAATAATTATACAGGGTCACCCAGCTAGCACATGGCAAGGCCAGGCTTCAAGCCCAGGTCTATCTTGCACTGATCATTCTTACCCATTAATTTATTGACTTTGAAACTTTGGTGGGGGCTGGAATCAAAGCTTATTTTCAAATATAAATTTTTACAGAAGATTCATATATAAAATAGAGCCACCTTGGTAGAAGCAGGAGTCCTGACCTTACCCACTCTACTCACCAACCACCCTTGCCCCATCCTACCTGCAGCACCACAGCTCCTGGTAACCTAAGCCTCAGAGGAATGCAGTTCTGAAAACCCACAGCCTGCTTTTGATATAATTTGTGTTCTAGGAGTCCGATGTACATTACAACATTCTTTCTCTCTGTATGTTTTGGGAGGTAGGGGAAGGAAGACTATGTCCAAAGATTCTGGATCATCCTAACCTGTATTAACATTAGGCACTGCAGATTGATGATTTATAATTAACATGGCCCTACACTTGTAAATTCTCTGGCAAATATGAAAACAGATGAGTGGTTTCCAAGCTTATTGATGGTATAACCTTCTAGCCAACTCTTCATGAGAGCTGGCGACTGATACATTATTTGTACCCAGTGCTGTCCTATCACAGGGAACCCGGCCAGCAGACCCCCCCCCACCGCCACGTATTCTGCAGCTGCAAAGGCATGGCTTGCCTTCCAAAGCACCGTAAGTGCTCCTGCTAGTATTTCTGGTTCTCGTGCCTGCCCTAGAGACTAATGATATTTTCTCCCTTGAAAATTCCTGGCAGAGAACTACATAGTTTTTTTCTGTGAGGTACTCACTAATCTTTCCTTCACGGGAGCTCTTCAATCGTTCCCTCAATGTAATGGTCTCCCCATTCCTTAGAACATTCTTTCTGCCTTCCCCTATTCACATGGAATAAGTCCACTAAGGATATCAGCAAGCCTCTCTAGCTCCACCTGCACGCTTTATACCCAAACTCACACAGATGCACTGCCTAAAAGAGGATCCAACTTGTTTCAGCAACCACAATGGTAATGACATACTCCCACTATCAGCATCTCAGAACTTGGACAAGAGGCTCTCCAGGTTAAGAAGGGCCTTAGTCTAAGAGTCATCAACCTTACCTTCTTGCCTCCTGGAGAAGAGGCATCAGGGGGAGGTGTACTTGTGATATTTAATGGGCTGGAGCCACAACTGGAAGGTGATGACCCTCTTATTCTGTCAGAGAAGAGAAGAGAAGAGTTAGTTATATTGTCTTTCCTTTTCTTCCATGGGGTGTGAGGGGTGGGGGCTAAGAAGAAGGATGAAGAACTAGAATAGAGATTGGCAAACTTTTGCTGCAAAGAGCCAAATAGTAACGACCTAGGCTCTGTAGGCCACATGATCTTGATCCCAACTACTCAACTCTGCCACTGTAGCTTGAAAGCAGCCACAGACAATATGGAAGTGAATGGGTGTAACTGTGTTCCAATAAAATCATGTTTACAGTAACAGGCGAGACACCCTATTTATCCCACAGGCACCTGATCTAGAATGCAATCCCTGGAGTCCAGCATCTCGCTGACAAAGTCCTTGGTTTAGGCTTTGGATTTCAGGTTGCTGAGTTTCAACTAAGTGGCCAGTTTCATTTCTCACAAGTTACAGATCTCAGAGTTGGAGGCGACTTTAGAAGTTCAACCTCTATCTTTGATACCATGAGCTAGAAACCACAGCAAGTGATTTATCCTCTTCCCTACAGATACTTTTTGGCTAGTGAATACTCTTAGGAAATGGAAGGTGCTAGGGTGGCTCAGCTACACCTAGAAAGTAGCCCTGCTTTCTAGTAGTAGTAGCAATAGTACTACTACCAGTAGTTGTAGTAGTAGTAGTAGTAGCAGTAGTAGTAATAGGGCAGCTGTCCCAACCACCTTCAAAAGCAACAGGTGATTTAAAAAAGATGGGTCCAGGCCCTCTCAGCTGTAGGTTTCTCAGTATAGGAGATTAACAGAGACAAAGTCTTAGAACTGTACACCCACACACATGCTCATCAAGCTGAAGGAACCGAGGAAAGGAAGGCACGGCCTGGTGGTGAAGCTGGAGTATGGTGGCAGCTGTGTGACCACCAGGCCCTTAGCTTCTACAGGGACGAATGCTGCTTCCGGGTTACCCAGGCATCCCATTCCCAACTGCTCAGCAGTCCTCTGGCTGTTGGCCTGCGCTGCCTGGTTCTGTAGCCTGGGGAATGAATAAGCTTTCTCTCTCCTGGATCATAAGCTCCTCAAAGGCAGGATACAACTAGAAGCCATGCACACTCAGCCCACACAAATGGGTACTAATTGCTTACTCAATTGCTGAATCTCTCCCATCTTCCTTTACTTAGGTCTTTGAAACCACTATTTTCCTGGGTTCCCCATCTTGGGATTGCCTTTTCATTGTTACTTCATCTTCTAGTCCTTAAATTATGGATTTTTCTTTGGGACAGTATCATCACTGAGGGATGGGCCCTCCTTCCTGGGTTATTAACCATGTTCCCCTTCATTTCCTATTCCAATCCAACTTCCATAATACTTATTAGCACATTTTGGACAGCTGCTCAGCATCCTGCAATGAATGGGGTCTCAAAATTTTTTTTCCTATCTAAACCTCTTATAATTTCTTTTCCCCTATCTAAACTCCACAGCATTATTTATGAGGATTCTTAGCAATCTCCCCTCCTTGCTTCAGCTCACGCACTCTCCCTTTTTTCTATTATCATAAAGAAAATAGATTTCTCAAAGACCTAAGACCCTTGAGGTCAAGGACTGTTTTACACTGTTCTTGGATGGTTTCAAGCAAGGCAGAGTATGTATATAGTGGCCAGTAAGAATCTGATTATCACTGCACAGTGCCCTGACTTCTTCCTGAAGATGGGGTCACATCCACCATTCCCACAGGGTTGGAACAGAACTGTCCTGCCCACTGGGATAAGAGCACCTCTGGCCCACTAGAAAACAAGACCAGCTTTCAGTTCTCCTGGAGATCAATCCAGTGGCAGCAGGGAATAATTTTTCCCTTTTCTTATTTTGTTCCATTAAGTGTGCATTCCTAAGGTTACCACCCTCTCCATTCTCCAAATTCAGATGAATGTATAACTGCTTCCCTCTTAATCGCCACTCTTAAGGACTCAGATTTGATTAAAAATTTTTGAGCACTCACCATATGTCAGTTTCTGTTCTAGGAACGTTCCTGAGACCTCTCACACTCCTAACGCAATCCTTGGGAGATAGTTATTACCTGCCTTTTATGGCTTGGCTTAACAGAGACCAGGAAGTTAAGTGAATCTCCAGCACAGCCAAGTAGAGGCCCAGAGCTCAAACCCAAGTAAACAACTTCCCCTCTTTTTCATATGGAGAAGCAGCCCTCCGTCTCTACTGTTAAAGCTAGGCAGATTTTGACTAGAAGGAGCTAATGTTTTGTTAAGGCCCAGATCTCTGACCGTCGCTACTCCTGTAGTCCTGTGTTGCTAGTGTCCATCCATCCTCATTAATCCCTTGAGTCATAATACAAAGTCATTAGAATATTGAGTCTCCCAAAGATATTCCCTTTGACTCTGACCTGTTTGGGTTTCATGCTTTCTTTAAGGCAAGATTTCTCAACCTCCACACGACTGACATTTTGGACTAGAAAGTTCTTTGTTGGGGGCCAGAGAGATGGGAAGGAGGCTGCCCTCTGTACTACATGATGTTTAGCAAGCGGCATCCCTGGTCTCTATCCAGTGGATGGTCTAACAACCAAAAATGTCTCCAGATATTACAAAACATCCTTTGGGGGGTAAAATGCCCTGGGTTGAGAACCATTGGTTTACAAGAGCAACCAGAAGGTGTTACTTGCCTGTGGATCTCCATGATTTCTTCAGCAATCATTCGACCTATTTTGCCTGCCCCAGCCCTGGTTCCCCCTGGAATCCCTGGAACAGTGGGGTGGGTCCTCTTTGGGCCACCTACAACAAAGGAATCTGAGAGTGGGAAAGGGGAACCGAGGAAGAAATACTAGTAGGAGTTAAAACCCGCTCATCTTGTGATCTACCTGAAGTTCAACCTCAGGCTTCTGCCCTAAGTGACAAGAGAGCCGCAGCTTGTCAGGAAAAGGCATTCCAGCAGAGGGCTCAAGTCTGTGTCCAGGATCAGAGGCCAGAGCAAAGCATCTAATCCCCCCTCCCACACTCAACATCTGTGGACTGACCACCACTGTATGCAAGCCAGGGTCACAGAGATAAGCCAGCAGCTCTGCCCTCAAGGAGCTCACAGTCTAGCAGGAAGACAAAGAGAATGAACAATGACCGGAACGAAGCGTGGTAAGTTGGGACAGGTAAGCGCAAGGCACCCAGCTCCTCCAGGGCCAGGTGCAGCTTCCTGGGAAAGTTTAACTCTGAGCTGAGTCCTAAGAGAGGAGAAATTAGCTTGGCAGAGAGTTGAGGAGGGGAAGGCATTCCATCCACAGCCACCAATATATGCAAGAGCCCTGAGCGAGGACGAAACCTGGGACACTACTCCAAGAAATTCCTCATGAATGATGGTGGAGTGACAGGTGAAGCAGGAGGAGCTACCGATCCGATCACGAAAGGTCTTGGACGTCACACTAATGGGTTTGGACGGGATCCCGAGGATAAGAGGTGCCAAAGCACTTCCCACAGGAAAGGCACTTAGACTGGCTTACTGGGAAATCCACTGCATGGAGAATGAACAATACCGGAGGAAGGGGATTCGGTGGGGGAGTGAGACTAGGATTAGAAAATTCTCTGCAATGATCCAGGCGACAAGTGGAAGGGAGACAGAGAAGTCTAAGAGGTAGTAGGGGCAGGATTTTGTGTTCAATAGACGGAGCGAGGAGGAGTCGTCAAAGTTTCTGGCTTAAGCAACCACAGGAGGGCGTGCAGAGAACTGGTTTGGAGATGCTGAATTTCAGGTGCTTTTGGGACTCCAGGAGCTCTGTCTAGGAGGCAGTTGGAGAAACAGACCTAGAACTCTGGAGACAGAGAGCCCAGATACAGGAGAGTCACTGGTGGAGACGTGGGGACTGAAGGAAGCCATGTGAGCAGAGGTGGTCCCATGGAAGGATGAGTCAAGTGCGGAGAGCAGGGGCTGGGGCCAAGCCTGGGAGGGAGCCCCACTCAGAATGGCACAAACCCTGGTGCTGAGAGACCCCCTCCTCCCACCACAGGAGCCAGTGACAGTCACCAAAAGGCACCACATTGCAGTCACTGGGCAATAGGGAGGAGAGCCCGAGAGGAGCAGGGAGTTTGCTGTTTCAAGGGCTTCCAGGGTCCAGGCAGCCTCAGGAAAAGCAAAAATGAGCTCTCCGTATTCCAGGCCCAGCAAAGAATATGAGAGGACAAAATCCTTAGTGCTCATCCCCTGAGGTCTCCTTTCTTGTATGGGGGCTGGGGACACCGGCCACAAGCAGCAGCTCACGGGTAAGCCCCGATGCTGCTGAGGTCCATAGTTACCTTCTCCAGAGGGCAGCATGCTGTCCATGCTGTGGGGGGACGCTGTGAGCTGCGGGAAGGTTGGGTCCCCGCCTTCCAGGACGTTGGCTCTGTGAACATCCCAGCAATAAGGAAACATGAGTCAGGCCTGCTCAGAACCATGCACCTTTCACCTTGGCCAAGGTGTCTGGTGTCCACTCTGGACGTGGACAGGCCAGAAAATGAAGTGTCTGCCTGAGTGGCTCAGCAGGTCTCCTCACTGTTTGAGAACATGACGGACAGCATCCCGGCCTTTGGCCTCACTGCCTGCCTAGGCCTTCCTGGTCTGTATGGGGCACAGCCCAGCAGTAAAGGTGACTGCGGCTGCCCACGGCCATCACTACAAGGCCTCCTCTCCCTCCAGCCGGCAGGGGCACCTTGCCTGGGCCCCTCACGCACTCAACTCTAGCCCAAGGCAGGGGTCTGGCCACCGTGGGGGGAGGAGACGTGAGGCGGAATAGTTCTTGCTAAAGAGCAGGTCCTTCCCTTCTCACCTTGCAGGTAGCAGCCTCTGAGGCAGGCCTGGCAGGCACGGATACCCAGCCACCCTCAGCCAGGGCTAGTCTGAACAGGCACCTGTGTGAGCCTTCTACGACCGTCAACCCTTCCCTCCACGGCGGTACCAGGGGCGCCCAGGGTGTAGGGTCTCTGGGATTCAAAAGCTAAGTGCTGCATTGGGAGGGAGACAGTATGATCTCCTGGAGTAATTCCACAAGCCAGGGGCCTGCACCATATACATATCGAAGCGTGTTCTTTGTTAACAACCCTGTTGGCCTCTACCAATCCTGAGGCTTCCCAGGATAGCAGCAAGGTAGCATTCAAGGTGGGATCCTGGGGGCTGTCTGTACCCGCCTTCCCAGGTAAAGAGCCCAGGCATTTATCTTTGAAGCAAGGGAGCTTCTGATATGAGGGAAAACACTTACAAAACAACAGTGTTGGTTGAGACAATGTATTCTACTTCCTTGGTCCAAGGGTTCATGAAACTGAACCATCGACTCCGCAGTGTGATGAAAGAACCATCTTTGATTTTAAACTTGTAGCAATTCGTCGTAATCTTTTCTCTCGTCTGTAAAACTGAAAATGCAAAGAAGCCATGAACATGGTTCCCTCAGGCCGACATATGAAGTTAACCAAATCCTACCTGTGCCCGGGCTCCAATGCCATGGCCAGAGGGAGCCGGGGGAGCGGGCACTCGGACAACAGGCTGTCTCTGAGGGTTGGACTCAGAGCCTTTCGATTCATTCGTGAATCGCTTGCTATTGCTCAGCGTAGGAAGTGAAGGCTCCGGGGAGTCAAGGACTGCGTGATCGCCATCTGACTGTGACCAGCTCTGAAACGTGCAACAAATGTCCCAAGGGCCCGTGTTCCTTCCCCATTACAAAGCCTGACAGCGGAACAGCATTTTTAGGACATCTGAATCCAGGAAGGTCACTCACCTACTCAAACTTTATTCTTTTAGGTCACAAACATGTCACAAGGACCTTTCATGGGCCAGGCACTGGAGACAGAGTGGAGACAGCATGCGGCCCCTACCCAGGCGGGAGGGAAGATCCCAGAACGGCCCAGCGAGTGGGAGAGGGTGGTGAGGGCAGGAAGTGAGGAGAGAGCTCTGATGCCTCTGTGAGCAGGGATGGGTCAGGGGTGAAGCTGGGAAGGTGGGTCAGTGTTAGGAGGTGGAAGGTCTTGAATGCTGGTCACAGATATTTGGCCTCGAGTCTCAAGGCAGGAGGTTTAAGCAAGGATGGGACATTATCAAGCTTTCTCTGTTGGAGCATAAACAGGACAATTGTGGAATGTGGAAGGTGGGGCAGAGAGATGGCTGGGAGTCTTTCACAATTACTGGCTGGCCACAAGGGCCTGAACCAGTGTTGGGGCAGCGGACGTGCACAAAGGGGCCTCTCTGGAAACACACGTCTGAGGTGAATGAGCAGGACCATGAGGGAAAGGGTCAGTACTGGTTCCTTTCTCAGGAGGCCAGTATGTGCCAGGGCCGCAAGTCGAGAGGAAAATACAGGAAGCACGGCAGGATTTCATGGAAAAGAGATCTGTTTGAGCCGTACTAAATCTTTACAAGGTCTGTAAAACAAGAATAAGAGAAGCTTTCCAGAAAATGCTCTGTCCTATGTACAGGAAACTGCTAGGCAGTCCAAGGTGGGTTCACTGGAAGGGGATAAACAGGTCCCGGAACATCAGTCTCTTCTCCACAGACATGTTGTGGCCTGAAGACTCCTGGGCTGGCTGCCTCCCACATTAGTGGGGGCAGATTTCTCTGGAAAGTTTATGTGGCCTAGTTTCAAAGCATGGGGACTCCTTAAATTAAGACCTTTTGTACAGCCTGGCTTACCTTGCCTATGACATTCTGCGAGGTGTCCTATGTCATCTTGGTGGAAATATTCATAACATGATGTGCCTAGAAGTTCTTGTGGTAAATATGCCAAAATAGCTGTTGCCCTAGAATTTTTTTAAAAAAGAAACAGTAATTCAGACAATTAACAGCATCTCTGCAGTGGATGAACCCCGCTGTGCTGAGGAGAACGAGGTCCAAGCTGGATGGATGTAACTGAGCTTAACCAACACTATAGAAACAGGGAAGAGAAAAGAAGCCTTTCAAAGGGGCCGTTGTCCCAAGAAAGGAGACTTAAAAATGGTAACTATGTTATTAGATAAAAATGTGACAGAAACCCAACCCCAGTGCAAACCTTCTCCATTTTACTACCTGCCTCCCCCCATTTTTTTTCTTTTAATCAGATGACCAAACATTAAAAGCTCCAGCAGCGGGGGTCACAAGGGCCTTGCAAAGTTATGGCATCCTTTCCCTGCACGTAGTGACTGTTTCTAATAGCCAGAAAACTTATCAGCCTGTGAATATTCTCCAGGAGGCCGCAGAGAGCCATGGCAAACTGGGCACATCTGGGGTCTCAGCTCAGGTCCACTACCCCTCCGCTGTGAATGGGAGGTGGCCGGTCCTCAGGCGGGCCCCAGGTCCCCACCCAGAAAAATGAGACTGGACTAGGTCAGTGTTGCCACTGACCTTTCTGCAATGGTGATGTTCTCGATCTGGGCCATTGGCCTCACAGAGCTACGAAGTACCTGCAACACAGCTTAGCGAGCCTGAGGAACTGTGAACTTCATTTTAATTAAAACCCGAGAAGCCGTTTGAGATCATCATGGCCAATGACCACCGCATCAGACAGCTGAGGACTAGATCCTCTTTTCCAAGTCCTACATTCCGGAATTCCAATCACAGCCATGCCTGTTCAGGTAGCATCCAATGCCCACCACTTCCCTCCTGGCCATGGACATTGAACCACAATGTCGTCTACTTAATGGTCTCTATGTGCCAAAGAGCGTTACAGAGAAAACTCTGTGTTTATGATATTCCAAAGAGTCTCATTTTTTAGCAGAGATCCCCATTGTGTCCCTCTTTTTACCCTGATGGCCCAGCCCTCTCTGCTCTACCCAGAGATGAAAATCCTGTACCATTACTGCTCATGGGGGCCACGCAGATGCTTACCTCTGGTCTACAAAAACAAACTTCCCGTCTATGGCGTGCCGGGACACGTACTCCATGGACTTCACTCTGATCTCCCCGTTCGCTGGCTGCGGGACCACGTGCGAATGCAGGCGTCCGATGGCGACTAGGCAGCTGAGGTTACAGCCCTCGTTGTCGGGTTCGCCGTCCTCGTCCAGCCCCATCTTTGTGGGCGGCCAGCTCTTCAGGTACCCTGTACTGTGGATGGTGCAGAAGCTCTTTCGATCTGCTAGAAAGCAAAGTCCGCGGTCAAAGTCAGGACAGCTATGGGCGAGCACGCGCGGCAGCCCGCGGCAGGCTGGGGTCCGGGAGAGGGGAGTCAAACAACACACACAGCTTTGCCCTCCAGAAGGGAGAATCCGGGGATGGAGGAAGACACAGGCATGGACAGCCGTCCTCCAGCATCCTCCGTGCGGAGCAGGACTGCTGATACTGAGGAAGGAGTATCTGCATCTGGGGGGGGGGAGGCGGAGGATGGCTGCCCGGGAAACCAGGGAGGAGGTGGATCAAGAAGGATGCTCACTAAGGGACCCAGATGCACGGAGGTCGAGAAGGTACAAAGTGCCGAGGCGCATCCTGTACGAGCCACAACAGACGGCTCCGGAGGGGCTGGGAAGGCAGGATGGGGCAGATGACTAAGGTCTTAGGCTATTTGCTAACAAATGCGTGTGTGTCAGGGAATGGAGAGCTTCTAAAGGTATTTAAGTGGGGACACAGCAAAGGACTGGCTACTCCAGGAGCACAGCAGTAAGGAAACTGGAAGAGTAAGCCATCAGGTGAAGACAGACATACAGCAGGGGACGAGGGCTGTGTTCCGGGACCGCAGCAAGGACGAGGCAGCGGGGAAGCACATGGGAGACGTTTCTGAGAACTCTTGAGATGTGGTATGAGTATCAGAACATTTGGTACGAAGGAGAAAGTGCAGGGGACTCCAACATTTCTGGATTGAATGTTTGCTGCTGCTCACAGACTCCAGGAAGAGAGAACAGAATATGCTGTAGAGATGAGGGAGAAGGACTGCACTTTGGGACACACTCAGTCTAGAATGCCTGGGGATTTCAACAAAAAACAGATCCTCACGGAGGATTTAGGAAGAAGCAGGTCTATGCTGCTTACTGGGAGACTGGGAAACCCCTCGGACGCGCCAGCATGGAGTTTCCGGTCCGCGGGGGAGACAGATGTCAAACAAACAACCGGGGGAGTGCACGGGGCAGTTCCAGGAAGGTGCCAGCAAGAGAACCTGGGGTGCTGCCAGCGGGCCTGAGGTGGCCTGAGGGAGCAAGTGGCAGCACAGACGCCCCAGCTCTAAAGGACCAGCGCTGCAAGCCGGCTGAAGGGAGTCGGGGGTGGGGGGACAGGGGCCAGCGCCCACGGAGACCTGGGGCGGAAAGGGGGGAGAGGCATCGACAGGAAGTCGGTACGGCTGAGCATGCAGAGTGGCGGGGGGTGGACGGTGCGAGGTCGTGGACTCTCCACTTCTCCCCAACAGCAGTGGGGATGCTGCAGGCTTTTAAATAGGGAGCCAAGAGAAAGCTGTGCCAGTGAGGGGACTTCTGCAGGAGGTCGTCGTGGGGGCAGCACTTGGTCACTGACCGCATCGGGAGAGCGAGGGCATGGGGCTGGGGTGCTTCCCCGGCTTCCAGCACATGCAGAGGACAGAGGTACCGTTTACAGCGGGGAGAAGCTCGGGGCGGGGTGGGGGTCACTCATGCAGATCATGTGTGAGATGCCCTAGAGAAGATTTCAGAGGTAAGTAGATTTCAGGGGATGTGGATTTACGGATCCAGAGCTCAAAAGAAAAGTCTGGGCTAGAAAGACAAACTTGGACGTTATTGGCGCCTACGTGGCACAGCAAGCTAAGGGAGAAGAGGACATGACCTATGGGTCAAGTGTAGACAGAAAGGCGGCTCAGGACAGACGAGGAGAGAGCCAAAGGAAGTCAGAAGAGGCCCCTAGTGCAGCAGAGGATGGGGGAGATGAGAAGAATGAGGTTTAGTGGAATCTTAGGGAAAGAATACTTTAAGATGGAAGAAAAATGAACTGTCCCTTGTGTCTAGCAATGTGAGCGTCCTTGGTGAATGGAGCAAGAGTCATTTCGGTGGACTGGCGGGAGGCTCGGGGAGCGGCTGGCATTGTGGCTGAGAGCAGTCTTTCTCAACCACATTACGACAAACGGAATTTGCACAAAGGAAGCCTTCCCAGGAATCATCGTCACTGTGACGACCATCAGGGCTTTCCAATCTCTCCTGCTCCCCAAAGTCCCTACCCATAGGGGGAGAATGGCACTGACTGCAGTCCTGGGATTGGCAGGGGACCACCAAACCAACACCCTCTGGAGCACCCCAGGGGACAAAGCCAGTCTCCCCTGTATTCGGATTTTATTATTACTATTTTTAGAGATTTTATTTGAGAGAGAGGGACAGAGATTCTCCGCAGACTCCACACTGAGCACAGAGCCCGACGCGGGGCTCGATCCCAGGACCGTGAGACCATGACCTGAGCTGAAACCGACAGACACCTCGCTGACGGAGCCACCTGGGCGCCTCTGTATTAAGATTTTCAAGAAGTGAAATGGTTACCTTTTTTCTTTGAGCAGGTTGAGGGGAAATCCTTGTCTTCCACCTTTACTGAAGGCCTGTTACACTTCATCCTACAGAAGAAAGAACGTCGTGCTCCAGAACATAATCGAGATGGCCCAGGGGTTATATCTGTTTTAACTGGAAGTCCAGCTGCAAATCAACACACAAAATGTGATAAACTGAGAGTAGTATTGTCTGTCAGGAGGGGGAGTGTGACCTTGAAGAAAGCCTCTTCTTTCCTGCCTCACTGTTTCATAATGACCACATCACTCCTCCTCAGTTCAGGCCGTAAAAGACGCAACGTGGGGAAGAGGGTTGTCCATCTGGAGATGTTTCCAGACCACCTAGAATGCAGCTACTGGTGGGAGAGGCAGGACCAGGATCCTGCTGTGAACACCGGCTATGGGTCTACAGCCCGTGTCTGGGAATAATGCACGCCCACCACAGGAGTGACTATCAGAGGAGGAGCCGCTGCCCGGGGCTCCTGCTGGCTGTCCCCTCTCCAGCCTACCTGACCTACAGCCACCCCGGCTGATCTTCTCTGGAACACACATGGGCCTGCCCTCCCTGCCCTGCTTGGTTTGCTCCAGCCACACAGCGGGCACTACACCTGTGTATCCTTCCAGAAATCATTTTCCCAGCTCTGCTCATCTCTTCATCATCTGGCACACAGTAATCCATCCTTTCAAACCCACTTCAGCTGTCACCGACTCAGTGATGCCTGTCCTCACGCCCACATGAGGATGAATCCTCTGTTCTCTATGCCTGGTACTATTTCTGTGGCGGTACCCAGTACGCAGGGTGCTGTCTGTCTCCTGGTCTCCCTATGACGTGAGAGCCTTAAAGGCAAGGACCAAACATCACCTTATTTTCTCCTCACGTCACTACCAAAAATGCCAGGGCCAGACTATAAAAGGCAACAGGTTCCAGGGACTGCGCTGAACTTTTAGGAAGAGGATATTTAATGAAAAGATCATGACACTGACATTGTGCCTACTGTGCACCAGGGACTGCCCCATAGGCTTTATGTGTGTTACTATATTTAATCCCCACAACAACCCAATGAAACAGGCACTATTTTGCAGATAAGGAAACAGAGGCACAGAGAGGTTAAGTAACTTGTTCAAGGTCACACAGCTGGAAAATGGTGGAACTGGGAAGTGCGCCTGACAATCTGACTCTAGACTCCACATTAACTGCTAGAGTCCATAGGCTCCCATGGGACTGATGGGAGGAGAGATACAGGGCCTCATGCAGGAGGCACAGGAGGGGACACGGGAGGAAGAAGTGGGGGAAGAATGTGAAAGGTGGTTTCCACTGCTAAAGAAGGAAGCCAGGAGATGGAGCTGACCAACGAGGAACCACTTTTTCATGTTTTCTTACTCTCATCTTGTGTGGCTGCATATGTGTAACACAGGTAAATCGAGGGGATATTTTGGGAGGGAACAAATCAAACTGGTGTGAGCCCTTGAAACTCAGAAGCATAGAACTGGGAATTTCTAGATTCTGGGGGCAGTGAGGCAGAGACTAAAAACCAGAAAGAATCAAGGTAGCTGTTTTTCCTCTGTGGATTTGGACATTGAGTTGTTGCTTCTTTATGGGAAACAAAACAAATACAAAGAAAGGGACATGATCGCCTTGAGCCAAAGAGAGCACCTGTGACCCAGATAAAGGGCAGAGAGGAGGGAGGCCTGAGGCCGAGTGTGGGGCCACAAGCAGCTGTCTTCGCTCAGCGGTCTGGATGGGCCCCGAGGAAGTAGCCGCAGCCTTCTTCTGGACTCACTTTTTGCATCTATGAGCCGCTCCCGGGGCGCCGTGTCCGAGGACGAGAGCTGCTCCTTCACTTTGGCGATATCTTTAGGGTGCAGGTAGTCAAACAAACTCTGACCGATCAGATCATTCTGCAGGGATGGAGCACGGAGACAAGGAGTCAACGGCGCGTGGAACAGAATGTACCCAATGGGTGCTCTGCGTCTGTCTCTCTAAGCATGAGAATGGCAAGGTGTCCAACGTGAACACGTACACCTGCCCAGTCACTCTGGCTAGACAGACACAGGGAACGAGGCATCACCAGTTTGGTTTGGGAACACAGGGGAAAGGGCTCAATTATACGGATACTTCTATAAATAGTTCGTGTCCTGGAAGCAGGAATCTTTTAGCTGTACACGTTCCCTTTGATTGATTTCTCATGCCCACAAATGCCCTTCTGGGGACACGGGGTGTGGGCGTGGACTCTAACCCAAGTTTCTGTGCTCTTCAGCCACAATGGCCTTCATAACTTTGCTCAAAGACCAAGAAAAGCAAGACACTCCAGATACATTCAAGCTACATTCCTTCGAATGTATACACATGCCACCCCCACTCCTGCCACTCTCTCTAAAAAATAAATACTCAAAAAAAGAAAAGATTTTTTTTTCTAGGCTTAAATTCATTTCTCTGTTAAGAAATGACGAATTTTCTGGAAGAAGCACTGGGTGTGTGTGTGGGAGGGTGATACAAACATTTCACAGGGGACTTGTAGCTTAGAATTATTCTAACACGTGGGGTGACCTTTCTGGCTGCCGGAGGGCTGCCCGCCAGTGACAGAAACCGGAGCCATACCTGGCTGTAGTTGAGGATCTTGAAGACAGACTCGGAGACAAAGAGGATCTTCCCTCGGTCACATCCTACGACAAACAAAAATCCATCTGCTGCCTAATCAGGAGAAATGGACAGTCAATTTATCACACTTCCAGAAACACGATCTGTACTCACACTGACCGCAAATAAGGGCTTGTTTGCTAAGTATCCAAAGCACAGAACTGTCCTCACTGACAGCCACACGACTCTCTCAACTAATGCCTCAGGAGAGGGGGAGATGCTCTCCAAGGTAGGTCCCGACACACGGATCATCGCAGGACTACAGGGGACGGTCCGATTGAGGGAATTTCTGTTACAGCACTCCAGTCACTCTAAGACGTTTCCACTGAGTGTATCGAGGTCTGGAGAAGTCCTATTTTTTAATTATAGCTATGTTTGAGTCACCGAATCTAAGATTGAAAGGAACCTTCAAGATCAAAACCCCCTCTCCTGGATCCTGACCACCACCTGTCCTCAACCTGAACACTTCCATTTACAGAGCCCACTCGCTTTCCAGCGGTGCTTCTCAACATGGGGAGTGGAGTGTTGTTTGTTTTTGTTTTTATGCTGATGGTCTGGGGCAGGGCCAGATCACGAGTCTTTTCTTACCCCTACCCCAAATGATTCTCAGGTACAAGGACTGAGAACTACTGTTCCTGAGTATCATTTCTTGATCCAGGGCTGGGCTGCTTATATCCTAAGTGAGACAAGAAAAGCAAAGCAAAAATCTCCCCTACACACTTCTTCCTCCTTCTTCGCCTTAGGTACAGGTAAAAACCCAATCTATGTGCCTGTCTTGGGACTTAAATCCCAAGATCTCTAGACAGGATGCTCTTTGGTAGGCTGAAGCAGATAAATACCGAGCATCCGAGAGCTCAGGCTGTGTGTGACTCCTCCGCACCGCTCTGTACACGGACAGCCACTCAGCTGCGGCTGGGGCCTCCCAGGCACCGAGAGGGGACTGAGAGCGTCTAGGCTCAGCTCCCACAGTTCTAATTCAACACCCTGCCTTATTCACAAGTCCTTGGTCTGTTCTTGGGAAAAAATCTAGAAAAACTCTATTCCCCTTCCCACAAAAGGGCCTTGGGGAATGTAGTTTAATTCAAGGAACTAGGAAATGAATTCACGTGCCTGAGGAAAAGAATGGCGCCCACACCGGTGCGGCCATGAAGGCAGCTGGAAGGGACCGAACTGGCGCTGCGGAGACGGCGCGAGGCCCCTCAGCCGGAAGGGAGCGGGGCCTGAGCTCTTCCTAAGCCGGCACAGGGGCAGGGGAGGACAGTGGAGAGGAAGAGACTTCCCAAGCACCATCTGCTGGAAGCCTCGTTCAGTCAAAAACTAGGGTATTAATAACTTGCGCGCTGCCTTGCAGACAATCTCACATCTCACAGAAGTGTTTCGAGGCTTCTCACGGATGAAGTGAAGTGGCACAGAAGGTGCCTCGGAAGAAGGTGTCCGCGACATCCGGGCAGGAATGCTGGACAGAGTCAGGCCTGAACCCGTGACGTCATGAACAAAGGTGGTCTCAACACGTCTGGGGAGGGCAAGAGAGCTCCAAAGGCCCGTGAGCCATCAGTGAGGAGAGGCTCAACACATTCTGATTCTGCTTCCCTCAGGCAGATAAACGCCACCAAGCGAAGGAGCTGGGGCCCAGGGGGGCAGTGGAGTTGCTGAGACTAGGAGATGCCACCAGCACCAGGCGGCCACAGGGAGGGCTCCCTCTAGGGGCGGGGGTCAGACTTAGTAAGGGACACAGAAACCCTGGTGGGGTCTGCCTAGTTTTCAGAAGATAGGGAGGTAGAGTATCCAGACATCAGACACTGGTCAGGTTGCCGGCTCCCTGACACACCATTCATGGAAGCCATTTTGAAAGCTCTCAGTAGAGAGAGCAATCAGTCAGATGTGCACTGGGAAGGAAAAGCAGAAGTCCAGTTCCCACGGCCAAACCATTCAAACACCATCTTAGTGGACCCTGCCTTCTGTTGAAGCAAATTCATGAGAACTGGGCACCTGGAAGTGGTGAAGGATTGGACCATGCTTTGTCACCACAGACACGCACCAGGGAGGGCAGAAGAGCTTCCTCAGGGGAGACACATCACCGCTGTGTCCTACAGATGCTGGAGGACACGGAAGCACAGGAAAGGCAAGCCCAAGATGAAGTATTTAGCTTAAATGGCATGAAAATCCTTGTTCCACACCCTGATAAGTGTGGGGATTGGACAGGAAATTTAGAAGAGGAGAAAGTTATTAAGCATTTGCCATTACAAAAGAAGTTTATATACATGTAAATACATATAAACCTATGTTATATATAATGGGAACCTCATATGCCTTCTGTGTTCAAAATAAAACACATTTGTATCACATACCTATACATTTTTTCCTTAAAAACATCCAATTAGCCGTATGGCAAGGCAATCAAGTGTGTGTGAATAGAAACACAGAGACCCTGTTCCGAACTTTATGCCCTTCCAGGTGGCAAGAGTAGAGCATTAAACCAAGCTCTGGGCCCCATGGGGCTGCAGAGGCTGCTGTCCACAAAGCCAGCTCTGGGGGTTCCCTCCAGAGACCAGCAGACCCAGTTTACATCCTACCTTCAACAAGGCCTCCCTGGGAGCAGGGACAGCTTTAGGAAGAAGGATGGAGAGAGGAGTGCAGAGCTGTGCCCTGAGGGAGGTAGCCCAAGGCCACCACAAACTTACTGAGATGCCTGGCACCCCCACAACGTGTTTACTGTTGACCTGGATGAACCTAGAACAGTGCCATGCACACAGAACGAAGTCTCAGATTGTGCTATTAGTGAGTGAAAGACACAGAAGGCAGGCCCACCAGATCTACCTGTCACAAGAAGCTTCAGAGGAGCCACTGATGACCAACTGGAAATAGGACCATCCAATAAATAGATTTTGACAAAAACAGCAGCTCAAAAAAATGAATACCTATACAGGATGTTTAAAACTTCACCTCACAATAAGCCTTTTCCAAGAGAGCGAGAGGGATGGGATTACAGTGGCCCAAAACATGGCACGAATGTGATGGCTTCTATGGCAAGGAAAGCACCAGGCCCTTCCAACCCCAGGCCAACCAGACCACAGCTGAAGTTTCCACAGTGGGTCGTGAGAACCACTCCCGGAGGAAAATCTAGCAAATGGACGTGGCTTCGGAAAGCGTGCGTGGCCAGTGCTGACGCGGGACTCTTGCCTGTCTCCTCTGTGGAGGCTGGAAAAACCTAAATCCTTGCCACAAAACCGGGGTCAAGTCACACCTTCTGGAGAAGCAGATGTCTACTACTGGGCTTTCAGGAAGGCCTATCTTTTCTTGAGAAAAGGGACACCTGGCCTGGACACTCCCCTGCCCTATGTTTCTGGCTGGTGTGGTTACACTGAGGAAGCAGACTGCAGACAAGCCCGACGGGACTGCTGGCGAAGGCAAACAGAGCCTGGTTCCAGCCGCCCTCGCTGAGCCACAGCACCAGCCCCTCCTGGTCTACCGCAGGACCAGCTGTATTTGGGACACAAAACCCTCTCTGTTCACCAGGTCATCTGTTCCTTGCAGCTGAAAGCTTTTCAATTGAGAGAACACGTCAAGAGGGGATGAATTTCAGAGGCCAGACTTACAAAGAACCAGAAGCCAGGCAGAGCGGAAAGTCAGGGTGACAACAGAGTAGCCTGGAGCCGGAGGCCTGGCAAATGTCTGCTCAAAAACACGTGCCCAGATGCCATGGGGGCTTAGCAAGCGAGGTCCACCCTGGCTGGGGGAGGACAGAGGCGGGTTACATTTTTCTGTTCACAATTTGCAAGAGGACAGGCTTCTGAATCCCGGTTCTTTCCCTTTAATTTCCAAGTTGATCTCATTCTAACCAGAGGTAGACCTGATTCCACACAGAAGACAAGTTCGCGCGGCACCATGTCCACTGCCTCTCTGCAGGGACGAGCAAGACCAGCGAGCGCGATGGGCCAGAAGAGGAGAGCTTCACCTCCCCCATTTCTTTCCCTCCTTGGGCAGAGGAATCTTTGGAAGCTTTCTTGCTTTGATGGGATTTTGGTGTCAAGATGTACGCGGATGTTTTTGTGCTAGCAGTTAAGGGAGGAGAAGACAAATCCTTAGTTACCCATATCCGTCCCTTTCTAAAACCTTCGTGCCGGAATGGGGTTCTTGACTACCTATGAGTAACAAAATCCTGCCTCCTTCCATTGAAAAATCACAGTAGCCTGGGCCTTCAATTTTTGTCTAAACAAGGGTGGAAGGACCGTGGAGACAGTCTAGACAGATGTGGACACTGAAAAGACAAAGTGGGCCTCAAAATGTCCAATATATAGACATCAAATTCCCACACTCTGCTACCTCACTCTGAAATTTCTAAGGATGTGTAAAACAAGCTCATGATTGTGACATACCCTGAGAATGAGGTGTTTCAATTCATCATCTGACAGAAAAGTTGGTTTGTAGTTTGCTTCTGTATATGGGTTGGTGGCACCTTAGGGAGGAAAAAAAAAAAAAAAGTTTGTACACTTTCTACTCAGGGAATGGCTCCTTCCACTAGGCCTCTGACCTTCAGATGTGGCCTAGTCCCTACCACCCGGGACTTCGATGTTCTCTTCTTTTTCCTTAACGGACACAGCATTAGATCAGGCTTTGGAAAGAACCCACTGAAAAGACAAAACTATTGCCCACAGGGGACCTGACAGGCTTGCTCTGGTCACCGTAGGGGAGCCAAGAGGTAACAGACATAAGTAGAAATCTGCTTCAAAGAGAGAAGGCAGCTTTGGAAGCCAACCAACAGCGGCTCCTGGGAAGATTCCCTCCTCCCAGGATTGACGTTAAATGCGTTGTTTAGAGGTCCCTCAGATGACCACACTGAACATTCCTGGGAATGTCCAGTCAGCCAGGCCCTGAGTAAATATACTGTAGAAGGCATTTAGCGGGAGAGCTGCCTCATCGGGGGGCGGTAAATGAGCTTGGCAACCCAGAGAAATGCATTGCTTCAGTGAATACAACTCTGGCTCCTCCTGCTGAAAGGGGACGAGATGCTTAAAAGGCCATCCATCTGGCATCGTAGAGGGAACTCAAACAGGCATCGTATAGTAACAGAGAAAAATGCCCGCAGCAAATGACCTGGAATCTGCAAAAATGGTTAGAACAGTGAGGAAATAAAATGGAAAAGATCGGTTACAATTCCCAGTACCACGGTGAAGGAGGTTGACAGAATGTGTCTGTGACTTTCATATCAACAAATGAGGCACACACTGCGCCCCACCCTTGCTTTTGACAGAACTCTAGATTTGTCCTTCGTTTCCTTCCAATTTAATAAAAATTAGCTTATGCTTATACTAAATCTCTAGAACCTTCCCTAATAGGAATGTTTAGATGACATGCTCACAACATAGGACACGATGCTGCCATGTCCATAAAAACGCAATTCTTTTGCCACGCAGGTCAGAGGTCTGACTGAGCGCCCACTTTCCAATTTCCTCCAAGGGTCCAAGATGGGCCACAGAACCTTCCAGGCCCAGTGCTCACTGAAGGGCCTGCGACACTACAGATTTCTCCTGCGGTTTGGATAAGTCCTTTCCACATTGCTCTGCCTCTGTGTCCTCACCCACCCCATGTTTTTCCTACTGCCTCCCTCATAAAGAGTCTATCTGGTTTGGGAAAATTCCAGGAGCATGAAAATCTTATCAGTGTTCATCCCTGACAGTAAAATGAAGCAAAAACCATCACCCAGTGAGTCACTCTTGAAAGGAGCCGTGGTGAATCTTCCTCCTACAAACAGCAGGGGACTTCTCAGTGTCTCCAAGGGCACCTGCATTTCTGATGGGGATCACCGGGCAAGTGGGGCCCAGGCGCACACACACATGGAAGGTGTGGGTCCTCTCTGACACACACGGAGCCTGCCTCTCACATACACGTGTACCCCCCGGAGCGGGTCGACTGCACAATCCCCACTGGACACCCACGTAAACTCAATGATCACTCCATTTGTCATCAGGTCTACTGCAGGGAAGGAGAGGCCTGTTGCTGAAGGCTACACACTGGCAAATAATGACCACGGTCCAGGGGCCTCAGGCACACCCTAGGCCAGGGACGGAACACTGGTAGGCCAGGGCATCAAGGACAATAAAGCCCACAGTCTTACCTCGTAATGTTTTCATGTGCTGAACGGCCATCCTCAGCACAGTAAGTTTATCTAACTTCCTGGACATGGCATTGCACGTGGGCACCAAAGAAGCCAGTTCGTCAATGAAACTGTTCATTTTATCCCGACGCCGCTTTTCGATCTGACTGTGGGCTTCCCTGCACAACAACAGGAAAAAGGATTTCTAGAAAATGACACCAAGCCTCAAGGAGACAATGACAAAAGTCAGTTCCCACGGTTCCTGACATTTCCCGGACAGGGCACATTTAGAATCTGCACAAGGCTTTGAACTTGACTAAAGGTACCAAAGAAGCAGCCTCACTGGCCCCCGCCCAGGGGTCAGTATTAGTTGGCTGTATGCTTTCCACATACTCAGAATTAAGAAGAAATAGAACAAAAATGGTCTTCTCAGAGTAAACTGGATAGGGAATTTCTCATTACTTTTTTTTTTTTTTTTTTAAGATTTTATTTATTTGTCAGAGAGAGAGAAAGAACAGCGGGCAGAGGGAGAAGCAGACTCCTGCTGAGCAGGGAGTCCAATGTGGGACTCGATCCCAGGACTCAGGATCATGACCTGAGCCGAAAGCAGACGCTTAACCGATTGAGCCACCCAGGCGCCCGTTTTCATTTCTTTTCCTCTCAGCATCTGTCAGGTTGGATTTTAAGATGGGCATTGAGGGAAAGAGAAGGGACGTGGAGCCTGATAAGAGCAAAGCACTTAGGACAGCCACTGGGTGGGGGTGGGGCGGGGGGTGTGATCCTGGAGTCCCAGAGAGATCTCGGAGGTTTGTGAGGAGCCCACTGCGTGGCCTGTCAGAGCCTGACTGAGTCACTAGGTAACTAGCGCCACCATCATTGGGTCAACCATGACTCCACCAAGATACAGCAGATGCTACATCTGTCCCCAAGAGCTTCCTCTGAAGAATGTCACACTCGTCCCTCCCAGGAATGGCTGCCCATCAAGGCAAGGGATGCTTCCCCAGGAACACACGCTCTTCCTGACTGGTTTTCAGCTGCCATTTGTGATGGTCCCCTATGGAGGTGTATCACCAGTGGAAATGTCGTTTGCTGCCATAGCAACAGAGCCACCAAGAGGGACCTCCCACCAAGGCTAGGCCATGTAGGGAAAGCTACAAATCTCAGGCCAGTCGAATTCTGCAGCCCTGGATCTGTGTCAGGACAGCCTCAGAGGGCCCTAGAGCCACTGGGAGGAGAGCAGACCCACGTGGATGGGGTCAGCAAGTGTGGCTAGAGGCAGGAGGGACCAAGTTCGAGAATCTACTCAAGGGCGAAGGCAGCCCCATGTCTGGCCTTGCAATGCAAGACGGGCTGCTCTGAGAGGCAAGGCCCAGCCCAAGGATGGGGTCACTGAAACAGGTCTCCTCTGGAGGGGAATTAAGAAGGAGCGAGGAACTTGCTGGAGACTGCTGGGGAAGAGCTTCAGCCTGGAAGGGTTTCCTGCTACTTCTGAAGTCCCCTTTAGGTTAAATGTGATCACACAGCCAAGAGTGAAGGCCAACTCCATGTGGAGAGGACAAGTGGCAGGCAGCCCACATCAACCCCTACCCTGAGCCCTGAAAGGACGCTTAGACCGACAGGGACCAGACACACAGAACTGCCTCAGCTGCACTCTGGGCAGCCAGAACCAGGATGCTGTATGGACTGGTCCATGCTTACCTTGCATTTTTGATCCTTCCTTGGTGCTCTGTGTATTCTAACCTGGAAGGGAAAGCAGGGGGAAAAAAAAGCAAGATCAAACACAATCCCTGGGAGACTAATGGCCAAGTTACACCTCTCTCTCTTCTTCTCAGCTTCATTCATTTCCCTGCTTAATCCCTGTCATCTGTCTCCAACACAAGGGCTCTTGTTAGCTGCCCTGGGGGGCTGGGGGTGAGCATCTTGAGCTTATCCCCAATCAAGGACACAAGTGGGACCTGTACCAAGTAACAGAACATGTAATTATGCAAGGAAAATAGCTAGCAGGATGAAGGTCATGACTAGGTTCATGGTACCTTCCGTGAGGGTCATCTTTGTCTGTGTCCATGCTCTCTCTGAAAAAACAAGAGAGAACGTGAGTATTTAATAAAGACATACAAAGCAGCTTCTTACAACATGGAAGGATTGCATTTATCCAGAAACCAAATAATCAGAAAGTTCAGATTCCGTAGTATCGATTATCGACGCAGACTAGTGGAACGCACACATCTTGCCCTACTATGCATCTAGGACTGGTTTCCCAGATGATCAAAAAAAGTTACGTGTGGTCATCAACAGAGCTTGCTGTTAACATATTTTAGGCACTATTAGAAACTGGGAATACAGACCATTTATGGAAATTCTTAATAACTGTATCCAAATAACTGTAATATCTTATTCCCCTCATCATTCTGGATAAATGGAGTTTATTCATTTGCAAAACATACCAAGCCTCAAATATACGTGTGCATACATATATATCTGGTGGGGGGGGGGTTGTGAAGTGGGGAGGGGAGACCAGAGAACCCACAAGGAAGCATTGAGCAGAGCCCTGAGGCAGCTTTTCAAAGACACGGACACACAATGTTCTGGTTCTCAGCCAGGTGGGAACCCCCGAGGCCCAAGGACCAGGGAGAGAGGGCCCAAGTGGGGCTGAGGGCCGTGGAGCCCTGTTTGGCCACTGGGGGTCCTCGGGTCACAGCAGGGATCTATCTCCCTTTTATAGTCTCCAGTGATCCACGTTTCAGGGCACCTCACAGTTTAGTAGAAAACAGACTAAAATCCTCCAAGGAAGGAGTTTCAAATCACCCTGGGGTCACCTCACACCCTTCTCCAGCGCCCAAGCTTATACCAGGAGGGCACTGCCTGGCACCTGGGCCTCTCTCTTTCATCCTGTAAGAACAGAGGGATCTGGCCCTTCAAACAATGTAGTCTCAAGGGCAAAAACAACTTTTCTCAGGAGCACCAAATCACAGCATGGGTGTTCTAGAACAGGGATTCCCACCCGGGAGCCCTTGACTGCCTCACCGGCAGAGAGGACCCTAGCTAGTCCTAGAGTGCAGAAGACGGGATTCAGGCCACAGGGGAAAACTGAAACTCTCCCTCCCCTTTTGTCTTGGCTTGCAGCTGGTCCCTGAGGCCAGGATGATCAACTCAGGTGAAGAGAGCTCTGCCTGACCCACTGGACACAATTAGCGCATTGAAAAGTCAGGGAAAGAGGGATGTGGGGTGCTTAATTATAGCGTCTCCACAAATCACAGAAGATTTGTAAACGGGGTCCAGGAGGGAAACCTGGAGGTCTTGGGTGGGGACAAGGTCGGAAACCACAGGTTTAGATAGCAGAGGACTTAGAAGACACCAGTGACTCCAACCACCCAAGGCAAGTGGTCCGTGGAAACCATCTCCTGGCCTCCCTGTTGGGGAGGGACTGCTCCAGAAGAACCCTCTCGGGCCTCACACCCACTCTCCATCCCCTGGGCGTTGGCTTGCTCAATCATCTGGGGTCACTTACATATTAATCATAGCATCTCCTAGTGGGCATCTGACCTTCAGCCACTGTGCTCCCCAAATTCGACCTGTGAACTTCAGCAGAAAGGACATCTGCTGTGGGGGAGATACCTCCTTGGAGAGGTTTCCCTCATTAAACAAAAGAAAAGCTCTTAAGTGGACAAGGGGATAAGAACCCACGCAGTTGCCTCAACAAAACAAAACGTGCCTTTGAATGTTCTATGCGGCTGTCTATTCCCTAAGTATTTGTACAGTAAAGGGTTGGCTACATGAGTGCAAATTTACTTACTCAAAAGAAAAGCCATCAGGTCTAAAAAGAAACAAAAATACTATTTAATAAAACAGGTACACACTAATTTGAGTAAGGTTTCAGGGCCATACCGATGTTCCTACGGTACTTTCGGAGGGGGCCAGCACTCACTCACTCCCTCCACGAACATCGAACATTGAACATCGTTAAGCAACTGGGGACTTCCTCAGAGAGAGCCTCAGGCAAAGTCCTCTTTGAAACCACAGAGAGTACCTCCAGACACTTAGCCCTCTTGCTCAAAGGAGCCAAGGAGGCTGGAGGAAAAAGGTGAAAGGTAGCGCTTGGCTTTAAGCCTCTTCCTTTTCCCTTGATGTGGCACAGTTTGGGGAGAGAAAGGGGGATGGGGATGCCTCAGCAGGGCTGGAGGCTCCCTCCTGCTTGCGATCCAGGGAGGAAGATAAAAGCAAAAATGAAACAAAACAAAACAAAAACAAAACCCCACTGTGGGGCCACCTAGACTTGGATCTTTCATTTCCATCCCTTTCCACAAAGAGGACCCCTTCTTCCAGGAGAACAGCAGTTGGCCCCTCGATGTGCCGGGAACGGACACCAAGTTTAGCCAGAGGAAGAGGAGCCCAGGAGGCCTTACTGGTAGTCGGTAGAGCTGCCTTTCCGTTTGCGGTTACAATCCATGCCACTGGAGCCGAGGGGGCTGGAAAGCAGGTCGGTGGGGCCCGGGGACATGAAGTCACTGATTGTCGAAGAAATGTCCATTCTCTGGTCAGCCATTGGAGGTCTGGAACTGGTACAAGGAGGCACAAAGGTGATTTCTACATGCTCTTCTACCATGCTGGAGGGCCAGGATGGTCCTGTGGAGGGTCGGGCTACTGGTCTACCACACTAACCCATCTCCCCCACCCCCGCCAGCTGGAATAGGGACACGGTGGGATGGAGAGAGCAGCTGACATGCTTTAGGAGTTAACATAGATAATGTAGGTTAACCTGTTCATATTGCCTGTTTGTTTGTTTGTTTGTTTAAGATTTTATTTATTGAGAGAGAGAGTGCGCACACAGTGGGGAGTGGAGGGAGCAGCAGAGGAAGAGGGAGAAGCAGGTTCCCATGGGGCTCGATCCCAGGACCCTGGGATCATGACCTGAGCTGAAGGCAGATGCTTAACCGACTGAGCTACCCAGGCACCCCCCTGCTCATATTTCTGATGAAGACCCAAAGTTCAGAGCAACTGGGTAGCTTCTCCTGGGTCCCCATCCCAGGGCATGCAAGAATAATTGCAGAACCCAAGGCTCGAGGACTTAGAGCCCAGTGGTCCTCCCATGGAGAAGACCAGATACTGACAGTTCTAATTTTATTTTCTTCCAGTCCATAAAATAAATAGGATTTACTGGTTATCTTTGTGGTTTTATTACAACTTCTGTAAAAGTCCCAGAAAAGCAGAAAACATCCTTTCTCAGACCATGAGTCCCTCTCGGGAGTCAAGAAAATATGGTCCCTGTCTAGCATGGGGCCATGAAAAGTCTGTATTGTCTTCCCTGACTAGCCTTTGTGCCCAGCATCCCCTGCCAGGAAAACCTGCATAAAGGACATAAAGACATTGTAGACCAACTGGCACAACATTTCAGGAATTCACATTTTATAAGCGTGGAGTCAGCTGGCCCAAAAAAGAGACTGCCAAGTACCTTGCAAGGGACTCCGACTCCAAACCAAGTGGAAGAGGGCTGCACTCTGCCCACGGACGGGGTCCCAGGTCCACACCACGTGACCGGGGCTGTCACTCCCTCTCTCTGGGCCCAAATTCCTTCATCTGCAGAGCAAGAAGGGGACTGTGATCTCCGCTCCCCCATTACAGTTCCGCCCACAGACGAGTGCACTAGGGTCAGGTGTGGGCCAACTTTTCCCTTTCACAGCCACTGCTGGAGGGAGCATTTCAGTGCTCTAACTCCAGGCACTAGAGCTATTATCGCTCAGTCTAAATGTCTAAAAGCAGGACCAAAGGGAACACACGTGGTAGGTCTTGGTACATTCCGGAACACCGTGCTGCCAAAAAGCTCTGATAATTTATATTCCCAACAAGAGCTCCTATCAATCTGAAGGAAAGGACAAAACCCCATTGGTTTTTACTTGCATTTTTAAATGATTACGGATGCTGTCCCTATGTTTATAGGCATTTCTCTGGTTTCCTTTGTGCCCACTCATGTCCTGTTTTTCTACCACATTTTCTTCAGTATGGATGGGCCTCCTAACTCATGTTCACCTGCGCACCTGAACCTGGGGGGAGAAAAGCACACAATGAACTCGCTGCTCTCACTTGCCATCCATGACCTCGCACACCTCCAACACCAGCGCCACCTGGAAATCCTCAACCCCCCTGCTCGCTTTATTCCCCTCTCCATGACCAAGAACACCACACCCTCGCTCTTCTCCTCAAGCCCCCAACAGCTCTCCATCCCAACTCTCAGCAGATACTTGGCTTTCTACTCCACTGAGAAAAGGGAGCACATCCACCAGCCCGCCTAGCTGCTGCTGGTAGGAATTCTGCTCCTCCAACAGGTGGGGACGCCATCGTCTCACTCCTGAAAAACCATCACCCCGGAATTCTCTCCCTGCCACTCATCCAGCACCGTCCACTTTCCCCACCCTGCTGGATCACCCTCGTTTGGATACAAACAACTCATTTGGGGGGGAAAATCACAAGTATTTCTGAACTCCATTCCCTTCTGGTCAGTATCCCCATTTCTCTGTTTCCAATTCTTTTCCTCTTACTCAGTATAAGCCAACTCAAATCAGGCTTTTGTCTTCATCATTCCAACAGAACAGCCCCCGTTATGCTCCCCAGTGAGATCCTCATTGCTAAATCCAGTGGCTGATTCTCCATTCCCTCCCTACTTGCCCCATCCCAACACTTGGTAGAGCTGATCTGTCCCTCTTGTCTCTTGGCTTTGGAGAGGCGACCCTCTCATTGACCCCTTCATCTCGGTGGCCACCCTTTCCACACTGGCCTCTTTTGTAGGCTCGTCCCCCTCCCTCACCTCTACATCAGAGTCCTGAAGGTGTCCTCAGACCTTCTCTGTGTACAGCCACTCCCTAAGAGATTGGTCTAGCTTCACTGCCTCCAATAGGATCAAGGCTCGGAGAACTCCCCAACTTCTACTTCCAGCCTGGACCACTCCTGAATGCCAAACTTAGAGGACCACTTCCCGGAGGTCTCCCTTTGAGTATACAACAAAGACCTCCAACTAAATCAATCCAAACCCCTGGTTGTCCCCAAGCCAAGCCCCTTAGTGATGCTCACATCGATGAGTGGAACTTCTGAATGCTCAGGCCCCAATAGTAGAAGTCATCCCGACTCCTTGCTTCCTTTTACAACCTGCAGCCAATCCATCAGAAGATCCCACCAGCTCAACATTTACAAAGACATCCAAGTTTAACCACTGCTCTCCTTTCTCCTTCCTATTTCTTCTCCAACGTTGCTTCGGCAGTGAAGGGATATTCTCTGAATATTGTATGCTGTAACCCCCCCCATCCCTGCTTCACTTTTTCCCATGGCCCCTGACCCATAATCGACTTATTTACTAGCCTTCTGTCCATTAGACTATGAGCATCAGAAGAGCAGGGACTCAGTTTAGTTCACTGCTTGCACTGTAGTAGCCGAGAACGCTTTCTAGCATATGATAAGTACTCAATAAATAGGTGTTGGATGAGTAAGTTTGTACATTAGGAATAGTCATTCCTTGTTTGTCAGATGTCAATACCCACCCCCTTTTTGCCTTTTAACTTGGCTTACAGTATTTATATGTGATACTGAAAGTGACAGATTTTTTTTAAAAAGCCTTTTTTCACCCCAAAATAGAAATATCCTAATATTTTTATAATTTTATTTATATAGCTCTTAATCCATTTGGAATTACTTTTGGTATACTACCTAAGGTTGAAGACTTCTTTCCCTCCAGTGGATAGATAACCGTGCCAACACATTCACTAGACCAGACATTCTGTTACCAGTCAGTTGAAATGCCACCTTTATTGATTATTATCTATTTTTGGACTTCCTATTCTGTTCCTTTGATCTAGTTACTTCCAATCCAGTACCACACTATCTGTCATTGTGGCCTCAAAATACATTCTACTATTAGGTAGAACAAACCCTTGTCCTCTTAGGACTTCTCATTTTCAGAAATTTCCTGGTTATTCCAATTTATCCTTTGAGAAGCATTTAATCACATCAAAGGCATGGACAGGTGGCTGCTAGAAGTTATAATGACGGACATGAAGAGAAGCAGATGAGGGAGGAGCACAGAGCCCTCCCCTCGAGGTCTTGGCGAGCCTCTGGGCCACCTGATAGACACAGGGAGCCACCTCTGGCCCCCACTCCCTCTTTTTGACCAGCTAGACTGTTGCACGAGGTAGACTTGTCCCAACTGTTGGGCTGTGGGGAGAAACCACACTTCCTGAAAGAAGTACCATGGGGGCTGCCAGTGATAGCAGGTGGGGCTGGGGGTGTGATTTTATTACCTGAAGTTAGAGTTCTTGAAGCTCAGATCCACCTTGGGAGGAGCAAGGGGCCACTGGACTGATGGGTCACCTCAAAGCGATTTTCATGGTTTGTCGTTTTCTTTCAGGCAGTCAACGTCTTCCAGAAACCTACAGTGGGGCCCACAAGAAAAGAAAGCCCACACAGGTCACTTGTGGGGAGGCACATGGCACAATCTCCTGTTAGCTAAGGGAGAGGCTCAGTGGGGAGAGGCTTGCCAGCCCAGCTCGTCTAGGACAAACAAGGCTTTTGAAATGATTAAACATGGATTCCTGGATATGGTCTTAAGAGAAAGAAGATAATTGGACTTTTCATTTCTCCTACCGGGCCAGGCAATAAAATTATAGTGAGCACTTACTGAGTGTGTGCCTCGCGACAGGCTCCGTTATGACTGTGTTATGGAGATTCACTTACTGAGGCCTGAAAATAATTCTGAGGTAGATACTTTGTTTTTTTTTTCACTGGATGAGAAGACAGAGACGGGAGAAACTCAAGGATGACACTCGCCAAGGTCACATGGTGAGAGGACGGAGGGGTTCCAGAAGCCACATCAAGGTCAAGCAGAGCCACAGGCTCTCCCAAGTGAGCCGCTGTCCAAAGGCGGACAACCAGCCCCGGAAAACAGGTCTCCGGGAAGCGTTAAGCAGGAACACGCGTGCGCAGGGCCCGTCTCTAAGACCGCTGGAGGCACAGTAAGACGCTTGGAGATGGTGTCCGGGACGCTCAAGCACAGGGCAGGCACCCAGAGCAAAGGGGAGTCAGTGGTGAGAAGGCGCTTGAGTTAAAATGGCCTGTGGCCCTGCCTTCTCCTGCTGGCAGGACAGGGGTCTCTGCCCGGCTTCAGGCTTCACGGGAGGTTGCGCCCACCCTTCTACTCCCTCCTGATTCTGCCTTGAGAGGGCGAGACTCAGACTGTGAATGGACCTTTCCTGACCTTTCTGATACAAATCAAAACTACTGGGGTTGCCCCTTCCGCTGGCTCCTTCTTGCGGCCCTTGGGACTACCTGGGGCTTGATCATTACAGAGGTCTTCAAATCCGTGTCCAGGACAACGGCTGCTCTTGTCCTCCCAGCTTACTCCTCTGTGCAGTCC